AGAGAGCCTTTGCATTAGATTGTAGGTCAGTGCGGCAAAAGAGGAGGGGAAGATACTACCTTTCTTGCCGTAACCGTGGCCATAAACTAACAGGACATACACACTGTATATCAGTCTTTCTTTCGCAGCTCTGACTCGTCCTGTTTGTCAGTTTGCAGGTGGTTGTTTTTGCATAAATGTGTTTTCGATGATATTTACAACTCTAATATTTTCTTTTAATTTTTGTGTAAAGTTCGTAATTTTCAATTTTTGATTACTTTTTTGATCAATTTCCAGTTTGTCATCGTATAGTAATTTGATCAATTTCCAATTCTTTTTGTTAATCTATAAGAAGTTATTGACAGACGCGCGTGCGCATGTATGCATCATACTCAATGGATACCTCGAGAAGTTGCAGTCGAAATAACGGAGATCGACAATGAAACCGTGACTTTCTACGATCAGTGCAACTTGTTGCTTTGGGATTAACATTATGTCGACCAGTTCTCTTTTTTATAAGGATAAGTACGTGGTAAGTGTCATCCTTCTCTTTTATGTACTTGTATTTATATTAAATTTGAAATAATTTGTATTGTTTTGCTCATTATATAAGTATATTTTTATATGTTATTAAATAAAAAATTTTAATATTTTTTATAAAAATTTCTCTTTATATAGGTATATAAATTATTTACTTATTGTATACGCTTTCTTGATCGTTGATGTCGTCATGCATCGTTGAGTTTTAACTCGCAATGAAAAATTTAACACGATGTTCGTTTATATGATATATTATCCATGAAATTATGTGTATTAAATGATAGATTGAAATGTATTCATTTATATATATATTTATTTTATATATATTTATATATATATAAATATATATTTTTTTATATTTTTAAATTTTATTAAATATATTTTTAAATATACTAATTGAGAATTTATTCGGAAATATGTTTATTAAACGCGAATAGATTTTGATAAAATTTTGAAAATAGAAAAAAATAAATATTTGTTATACACGAAGAATTATTATACCATATTTACTATACTATAATGTGTAATTCTTTCATTGTATAGAAATTATAACTAAAAATAACAATGTAAATATTGATGAGATTGTGTATCATGCATTTTATAAAATGCATTTCGTAGTTAATGGATAAAATAATCAAAAATGATGACAGAAACAAAACAAATAAAAAAAAATTTTTTTTTTATATAAAACATTTACAAAAAAAACAAAAAAATATTCAATTTCTGTATTATATAAAATTAATAATTGTATTAGTAATTGTTTTATAAATTTGTTTTTTAATAAAATCTTTATTATTTCCATTTTATATAATAATATAATATAATAAAACCGATTGATTTTTGTTTAATAGAAATATTTAAAATGCTTAAGTCTTACAAATCATGAATTAATATCAGTTCTATTTATTTTGATATAATTATAAGGAAATAAATAAATTGTTTAAGAAAATAATTGTTTTAAGGAAAGAAATAAATAATAAATTGGAATATATTTTAAATTTGCAGTAATTTTATAAATACGTGATATCATCGCAATAATTTTCATTATAAGAAACTTCATGAACGATACATATTTGGTGATAACTCTGAATTAACAAAATATGAAATTAAGACAACGAACAGCATTGAAGTTTAGTTACCAAGTGAATGTTAAACCGTATTGTTCTAGTTATTCTTATCCTTGATTCTATAAATCTTATCATTATCGCTGATATAATCAAATGAAAAATATCTTTTCCGTTCGTTTTATCGCGAATGGCGAACATTTAAAGATGAATTCGTTGTTTCGTTTCGCAAGATATGGTTATATTAAAAGTAAAACAAAAGGCACGAGATTAAGCTATTAAATATATAGTATATTTAAGATGATAATATTTGAT